ATCTTGAAATTATTGCAAAAAGATTATATTTCCCTGAAGTTTAAGCCTTTGTGATTAAGTTCCATGTCTCTGATTGATTTCCAAGACTTTGAACCCAAATCTTATTTGTTCAGTTAAGTTACGTAGGATAAGTATATCACCGCCAGTTATTCAGGTATTACTTGAATTTTATTAGATTATGCATTCAATGCAAATTAAGAACCAAATCTAATATTGTTTGATTTATACTGTTTGATTATTTATACTAATCACCAGTATTAGCAACTGATCAACTACCTAACAAAATATCCAAAGAAAAGTGTGTCGATTTGATTAATAAAAGTCCTAGTTGACACTCTCTAGAGTAGAGCACGTGAAAATTAAGAACATTCGTTCTAAAACATTTATCAGGGCCTCAGAAATGACACTGCAGGTAATGCTACTTGCCTGGCATGTTGCTGACCCAAATTTGATGCCTGGCATCATATGAGGCCCCTGGTCTCTGCCAGGAGTTACCTCTGAGCACACCTGGAGGAAGCTTGAAGCACTGCCAGGTGTGGTCCCCCAAAGAGAAGGAAAACAAAAACCTGAATTTCTTAACACTGTTCAAAACAAACACTGTCCTCCCATTGTTCATCAATTTTGCTCGAGAGGCCCAGTAACGTTTCCATTTTGAGAGTTCTTGTTGCTGTGTTTGGCATATCAGATACGTAACGGGCAGCATGCCAGACTTTGCCGTGCGGGCGATACTCTCAGTAGCTTGCCGGGCTCTCCAAGAGGGGCGGAGGAATTGAACCCGGCTCAGATGGGCTGGCTGCACGCAAGGCAAATGCCCTACCACTCTGGTATCACGCCAGCCCAAACTTCCTAACAACTATAGAAAATTATTTCACACATAAATATAACACTTATTTTTTATACTTTCAGAATAGTTTTTTTTTAAATTAGTGTTTCTTTTTTCTTGATTTTTGACTGAAATAGACAGAATACTTCTTAACAGTCTATCATGGTGAAATTTAATGAGATAGGATGATCGTAAATTGCATATTAATTTAACCCTCCTTCCTTCTTTGGACTTGTTCTATTGCTGATATGGATTATTTCCAAATTCTTTATATTCCACCAGATCAGGCACCTTTATGTATTTTTTTCTGTGTTCTAGACTCTAGCATATCAGGGTACAGAAATTCTAGGTTAAATACTATTTGAGGGCTTCAGAGTTAGGGGTGTTGAGCCCACTTTCCCAGAATGGTTTACGACCTTCATTTTGTCTTGTGTTTGGGAAATTCATGAAATATCATTTGAGCAGATCCTTACTTGTTTGTACTCGCCATTGCAAAATTGCTTCAAGGATAGCTCTAGGGCACTTTCTAAGTTTGAAATGAGAAATACAACTGGGAGAGTCAGCACATTGTACCTGCTCTCTCTCTCTCCCTCTCTCTTTCTCTCTTTCTCTCCCTCTCTTCTCTTCACTCTCGTCTTTCTCTCTTCCCCCTCTCCTCTCTCTCTATTCCCCCTCTCTTCTCTTTCCTCTTTCTCTCCTCTCTTTCCTCCCTCTCTTTCTCTCTGTCCCTCTTCATCCTATGTTTATATCTTATTTCCCCCATAGAATCAAACTTCAGATATCCATTTAAGACTTTGAAGTGCCATTCTTTGTCATTTCCATTCATGAGTTTCACAAGTCTAAAATGTGGACAAACTGTTGAAGCATGCATGTCAAAATATTTTCCTGAATCAATTTTGGAACGCTTCTTTGACATATTTGAGTGAAAATCTGGTAAGGAGCTATGAGATTTTTAAAAAAAATACCAGTGTTCTGTATGCATATTTTACTTATCCATTGCCACGTAAGAAATTTTCTGAAATTGCAATGGCCCGAAATAGCAGGCATCACACATGGATCATGATTCTTGTGGGTCAGCAGAGATGGTTCCTGTGTGTCTGGGGTCTCTGAGGAGGGTGGGAAGTCCACACCTTTCCTGTTCCTTTAAATGCTGTCCCTCTCTGTAGGCCAGAGGTCTGAATGGACATGGCTTCTCTACAATTTGGTTTTGGATCGCAGTAGCTAGTTGTCCATGAGAAACTGGATGAGAGGCAGAGTGCTTTGCCTGAGGCAGTCGTGAGAGCTTTACCGCATTCCTCTACCACCTTCTCCTGTCATTGCAGTTCCCAGAGTCGGGGGAAGGGAACTGACAACCAGCCACACAAGTGGCATAGCAGAGCCATGCTGAATGGGCTTGTCTGTTGGTGGAGCAGGTTTGAGAAAGGAGCCCTGCATCTTATTTTGGTCTTGGTAATGTTAAGAAAGGGCAGATCAGGACCCCTCCCAACCCACAGACCTTGCCAGGCTCTCAGGCACCACCAATTCAAGTAGCACTGCATGCCCAGCTGATGGGTTGAGTCCTTAGTACTGGCCTTGGTGAATTCAAGTGCATCCATCCGGGGGGTTGGGCTTTTGTTCTTAGGGATATTGTAAATTCACTGTATCACTGTCATCCTATTGTTCATTGATTTCCTTGAGCAGGCACCAGTAATGTCTCCTTCGTCTTAGCCCTGAGATTTTAGAAAGTGCCACATTCGAGACTCTTTCAGGGTCAGGGGAATGAGACCCATCATTGTTAGGGTTTTGGCATATTGAATATGCCACGGGGAGTTTGCCAGACTCTGCTGTGTGGGCAGGATACACTTGGTAGCCTGCTGGGTTCTCCAGGAGTAAAAACTAGATAAAAAGAGGTTGCGTGGACGCAAATGGGTGGTGGGAAATTTCCTACCACCATGTAAATGTGGCCACGCACTTTGGGGAGCTGGGTTTTATAGTGTCTGGGTCTTGGCCGTTGATGGGATAGCACAGTACCTGGGACAGTTGGTGTGTGTAACACCTACCTACTGGAAATGGGGGATCTGGGCGGAGGAGGCCCATTCTTGATTCATGCAGGTTTGGAGATCTCAGCCCCGGGTCCCACATACCTGGGTTCCTCAGCCAGTTCCTTCATGCATGAGTAATTGTAAATTACTATTTCAATTAATTTACTTGAGATTTTAAAATTCAGGTTTTCTATATCCTCCTGGTTCTATCTTAGGTGTTTGTATGATTCTAAGAATTTGACCATTACTGAGGATGGAGTAATAGTACAGTGGCATTTGCCTTGCATGCGGCTGACCCAAGTTCGATTCTTGGCATTCAGTTTGGTTCCATGAGCACCACCAGGAGTTATTCTTGAGTGCAGAGCTAGGATTAATCTTCAATATTGCTAGGTATAGACCAAGAATCAAGAAAAAAAATTGATTTCCTTTAGATTTTCAACCTTGGTTGTATAACGTTGTTCACAATAAGTTTATGTGGTTTTTTTTTGTATTTATGAGTTGTATGTTTGGATTTCTCCCTGTTATTAGTCTAGGAATTTATTTTTTATGGAATCACTGTGAAATGCACAGTTACAAAGACCCGAGTTCGATTCCTCCGCCCCTCTCGGAGAGCCTGGCAAGCTACCGAGAGTATCCCACACTCATGGCAAAGCCTGGCAAGTTCCTCGTGACGTAGTCGATATGCCAAACACAGTAACAAGTCTCACAATGGAGACGTTACTGGACCCGCTCGAGAAAATCGATGAACAACGGGAGGACTGTGACCGTGACCGTGTGTTTCAGTCATACAATGTTCCAACACCCATCCCTTCCCCAGGGGTGGTGGGAAATTTCCCACCACCAACCCCAACTCCACTCCCGCAGCCTGCCTCTAAGGAAGACACTTTTCTTCTTATTTTCTCTTATTTTCCTTTTCAGCACTGTGGTTTGAAATACTGTTACTGAAAGAGTATCCTCCATGCCCCTTTCTTTACCTCCTTTTAGCACTCTGTATCAAGAATGATCATCCAACTACCATTGTCAGAGTGGACCCTTCTTATGCATCTAGGAATTTATCTACCAAGAGAAAGAAGGCATGGATTCTAGTACTGCAAGGAATTGAACTCGAACAAACTAGGGCACACGGGATTGGACTCTTCCCATTGAGGCTAGTCCAGAATGCAGCCCTGGCAACACCCCGATGTGTCTGCTGTAGCCCTGTATCTAGTGGCTGTCATTGGGGGACCCTCATTGAATTCCCAAGAGAGGCATGAGCACTGTTCCAGGAGTACCCATCACCAGCTGTGACCTAATAATAAGGATAATAAATGAAATGAAAATATCCTTGAAAAATCAAATTCCAGTTGGAACAACTAAATTGTTGCTTTGTTTGAGGGAACAAAAACTGATCCGATCAATTGAGAAAACCATGTAACAATGTCCACTAAAATTAAACGCGGTACAGTAGGACATTGATTAATTATGGATTGATTAATCTGTTTGTGTATTAAAAACCAAAAAGGAGTTCACGTAGATATTATTAAATATTTCCTACTAGGAGCTAATGGAGTCCCATCACAAAATATATGAATATGTTTTGTATTATTCACAAAATGGAAATCTGCAGCTAGGTGGCTACCTTAATGGTGCATGTGTAAGTTCTTCAAATGTATGTTGAATGAAATAATTTCCCCAGAAGAATATAGAATCTCATTTATTTGTATTGTTTCAGGAATAGGCGAAACAGATGGTTTTGCAAGTGATAACAATGGTTAAGTTTTGGAAAGTGTACTGTCAGCGTTCTGTCTTAAAAACTTGGTGCTGATTTAACACATGCATACTTATATGGTAAAGATGAATTCTTCTGCCTCTGGTTTGTGCGCTCTTACTCATTAGTGAAAAAAATTCTTTTGAGGAAATGGATATAAAGTGTTGGTAATACCTTTCCATTTGTGTTTTAACAGAAAGCATAAGAATTGCATAAGGTCATATAGCTAGAAAGTAGTATGAATAACGAAAAGTAATAATTAAGGATAATTTAAGGTAATTTATGGTTTCGGAGAATTATCTCAAACATTTGAATGAAAATAAATGAAAATAGAAAGGAAAAGAAAAAATACTTGAAAATGATTTTGACATTTAGAGATAAAAATTACTATATTTTTTTTCTGAAACAGTTTGCAGGGAGGATTCCTACCATTCTGTGGCCTCGTGTGCGGCTGTAGTTCTCACTCCTGTGGAACCCACGGCAGAAATGAAGAAAAGAGAAGAACTGAAGTTCCCTGAGCCTTCCAGACAGTAAGTTCTTCATGTCACTTAAATGCTTTTGTAAAATTGATCGCAAAATCCATCAAAGTGGATGTCTCATCAACTGCAATTTTTTAATGAGTATGTTAATGCCAAAATGAGATGGGAAGAGAAGCAACCTTTATATATTTAAAAATGTTATTCAGGGGCTGGAGGGTAACGCACTTACCTTACCTAATCTAGGTTAGACAACTAACCTAGATTCCATCCCTGACCCTAGATGGTCCCCTTGATTCTATCCCTGCCGCCAGATGGCCCCCTAGATTCCATCTTGGCACGCCCTATGGTCCCCTAGATTCTATTCCTGTCCCCAGATGGTTTTCTAAACTCCTCCTGGCACCCCAGATGGTTCCCTGAGCCATATCAAGAGTGATCCCTAGTGCAGAGCCAGGAATAATCCTTGAGTATAGGCCAATATGTCTCCAAGATGATGATGATGGTGATAATAATAATAAATGGTATCATGAATAATTTGTGTTCTCTGATTTCATGTACTTGAAACTACATGACATTGCATTTGCATATATTTTAGTGGAGGTGAAATTTCTGCTTGTTGCCGTATTTAAGAGATCTGTTTCAATAGGCAATGGAGTTCATTCCACAACACTGTGATTGTGGACACACTTCTCGGGCTTTCATAGTGATGTGATGCTAAAATGTGATGTTTTCAAAATAAATGTCTTAACTTAAATTTGGCTGATATTTTGGTAACCAATTAAAGTTATTATTTGAAATATTTTCTGTTAAATTATCGCAACCTAAAGCTGTCAGACTATTTTGCGTTTACATTCTCCGCCACTCAAATAGGTAAATTTAAATTTGTTTAAACTTTATCTTATTTTGAATTAATAATAGGATTTTTTTAAAGACCAAGGATAATCAAATTTATGATAAGAAACAAATGAGCTCTCATCTTAAAATATCAACTGAACACTTTTTTTTTCCAATTATGTGATAATAAATGAGAAGGGAACTTCTGTATGATTCTCAGGCAAAAGCAGTGTCATATGGGAATTAAGGTGTCACCTCGGAAGCTAGAGGATTTATGATGATGCAAACGATTTCTTTTGCCTCAATTGTCTGAAAGTAAAAGGAAGTTGCCTGGCTGTGAAACTCCGTACAGAGTTTCCTGCCACGTGATAGTGTCTAATAATCTCTGCCAAATTATTTAGATGATTCTTTAATGTTGCACTCACGAATGTTAAAATCAAACAGAGTATTGTGCCTCTTTGGTTGTAAAAGAGATATTCAGAGTTAATATTCTTATAATAAAAAAAGAAATACCAAGCAATTTAGAAAGCAATTATTGTTATTCAGTTTTAATCTACAAGTGCATGCAGTTGAATTAGTTTTAATAGTCTATTCTTTCGGTTTTCCAAAAGTCATATTTTGTCTGGAAAGACGAAATTACATCTCCTATATGAAAAATGCATTTTATTGGAAAACTCAAGTGTATTTTTCAGAAATATGTCAAGCATTTATATAAGTTGCATATTTATGAATTGAATACTAAATGCTTTTAGCTAGCTTTCAGTGATACTTACTAGAACTGGTAAATGTATACTGTGTCTAGCGCAAAGTTTTATATTTTGTTAGGTACTGGGTAGTTTTGTTGAAATTACAGATATGCATGTTACAATAGATTTGCTTAGTCAGTAGCACATGTGTAGTTCACGTTAAACCTCTTGTTCTGCCCTATGCGTCACAAATATTAACTAAGTTTTATTTGTTTTGGGGATACACCTGGCAGTGTTTGGGGTTTACTCCTGGTTCTGCAGGAGAAATGGTGTCAGGGGATGTTCAGGACTCCATACGGGATGCTGGGCATTAAACCAGGATTGCCTGTGTGCAAGGCAAGTGTCCTGCCCTCAGTATTACCACTCCAGCCCCAATATTGTCGTTTAATTCTTGCAACACTATTCTGTTACTCTCTCAGAAGAAACAAGGGTGTACTGATTATGTAGCTTTCCCAAGATGGCTTTTTTTTAAGTCAAATAAAATAAAATAAGTTTGACTTCCCTTTCAGTTTATTACTAAATGTTGAACCTGTCATGAAAGGCAATCATTTTTAAAATATTCATTTCCTTTTATGTGTTTGCAACTTAAAAATACGGATGGCGTTTTAAGTGAATAGTGCAAATGATGATTAGCAACTGTAAAGCAACAGAATAAACAGAATTTGAGTAATGAATTCCCTCACCCTTGATTGTCACAATCAGCCAGCACTTCTTCATTTGTGCATATATGTGTCCTCAAATGAGCCGGGAAAGAATAAGACTTTGTTTCTTTTCTTTAATGTTTCTCTCCTGCTAGCTACTTTTCAACACCGCTTTCTTTTATTTTGCATGTCTTGGAAAATCACATTTAACTTCATAGATATCAATAAAGTTTAATTCTTTTTTTTAAGGTCAAGGTATAGAGTGGCACTTAGGAATTGTAAAAAGGTAGCATAAGATTGGAGTGGGGAGAAACATGATTATTTTTAGCCTTTGTTTTTATTTCGGACATCAGATGCTTTGGGCTATGGAAATTATAAGAGAGCTTAGTAATTTTTTTGTAAATTAAGCTCAGAGATCTTGTGGTGTTTGTGTTTCTATGCAAATCTAAAAATTCCAGTGAGATATATTAGAAAGATATGTCCAAATATATGTATATGGTGGACAGATGAATTTTGCAATGGTTAGTGGATGCCGCCGGCTTCTTCTCATCACTCAGTTATGTGTGTCATTGTGAATGAAGTTGCTGGATTTAAGCATCGGACACATATTGACTCTTGGCCATCTTGAAGTTCCCTTCCAATCCAATTCATCCGACCGAACAAGGATAACTGAATTACGATTATTGTTACTACTCTGATACTACAGTTGAAGAATTGTGTTCCTTTTATTTTGAAAGTTCTGTTTACCTGAATAATTCATGGATGGTACCCAAGTGAATCACAGTTTCAATTCTTTTTTTTTTAATTTTTAAATTTTTTTTTCTTTATGTAGGAGGACTGCTATTTATTCAGCCACTGATTAGCTGATTGAATGGGCATGAACTCCACCTTACTTTTTTTTCATAATTTTATTTACTTTTTCTTCTTATATTTATTTATTCACTGTGGGAAAAGTTACAAGATTTCAGGTTTAAGTCTCAGTCATACAATGATCAAACATCTTTCCCTTCACCAATACTCATTTTTCACCACTAGAACCCCAGTATACCTCCATTCCCACCCCTCCAAATGCCTGTGAGGCAGATGATTTCCACTTAACTCTTCTCTACATTGATTGCATTCATTATTTCGACAAAAGATGCACCCTTACTGTTTAGAATTCCCCCCCCCCCCGCAACAATCAGAATTGCTGAAAAGGCATTGTGAAATACTTTGTTTTCTATAGCTGGTTATGAGAATCATATAATGTCACACGGGATTTTGGATTTCTGCAAAGAGCCAGATAATTACGAGATTGTTTTCTGTGTGTCTGGTGTTATGGCTGTGACAAAGTGCCACTTGTGGGGGGCAACTAGTGACCTCGGTAGGGCGTGAAGAACGAGCCTGGTACCGCCCCCCTTCCCATGAGACTGCAGTTGCCCCGTCACTGCTGGCTCATACCTGGCTTTCCAATAAGCTCTGAGGCGGCAGCCACCTTGCTGCCGGGGGGGAAAAGGTGGAAGGGAGCAACACCCTTTCCCTCCCGGGGAGGCATGGCACCGTAGTTTAACGCATGGTCCATTCACTTTTCTGCCGCAAGCTGCCGGGCTCTGGATTAAATCCTTTTGCCTCTTGAGCCATGGCCGTGCCAGAGAGCCACTCGTAGGGGCCAACTTGTGACCTCTGTAGGGCATGCAGGACAAACCAGCACTGTACCCGTTCCCATGAGACTGCAGTTGCCCCGTCACCGCCGGCTCATACCTGGCTTTCCAAGAAGCTCTGAGGTGGCGACCACCTTGTATGAGGTCTAGATGCATTTCTGCCAAAAGCTGCTGGGTTTCGAGATTTGTTTCTGAGTCTCTGGGATCATGGCTGTTAATTATCTTGATCAGGAGCCAGAGAGGCCATTCGTAGGCAGCAACTCGGGGTCTCACTGGGATGGGGAGGAAAGGGCCCATCTGGTGAGGCCCCGCGTGTCTCGTCACTGCAGGCCCAAACCTGACTGTTCAGTGTCCTCTGCAGAATGGTGGTCACTGGGCCGCCAAGGGGAACAGGCCAAGGCATGAAATCTATTCCCACCTCGAATGGCCCAGCACCAGTAACCTATTGCAGGAACAGGATGCATTTCTGCTGAAAGCCTTTGAGTTCCGAGATTCATTTCTGAGTCTCTGGGATCATGGCTGTTAAGCAGTTCGATCAGGAACCAGAGAGGTCTTGCCTCCAATTATATAGCTGAGCCGGAGGTGGTTTGTGGGTGTGTTTCCCACATACCTAACTTTTGGCCATTTACTTTCTTCGTAAACTTTGCCCCAAGTTTTTGGGGTCTGGCCGGAGGCACAGCAGCAATTTTGGAGTATCTGAAAGTCTGACAGTGCCATCAGGCTGCTGATGCACTTACCTCACAGCTACAGATTGACCTGCTGGTGGCACCATACCCCCGTTTTTTAATTTTGCTTTTTGGATCACACCCAGCAATGCACAGGGGTTACTACTGGCTCTACACTCAGGAATCACTCCTGGTGGTGCTCAGGGGCTCATATGGGATGCTGGGAATCAAACCCGGGTTGGCCACGTACAAGGCAAACACCCTACCTGCTGTGCTATCACTTCAGCCCCCAGTTTCAATTCTTTTTGATTTTTGTTTGCTTTTTGGGCCACACCCGGTGGTGCTCAGGGCTTATTCCTGACGGAGCTCATGGATCTCTCCTAGTGGGCTTCATATACAATGTCCAGGATCTGGAGGCCTGAGGTCACACCCTGGCCATGTGGCGTCCTGGGTAGTTCCAAGTGGTCAGCCCTGGGGGCCCCCAGCACACTGCCATTCCCATGCAACACCACATTTTATTTATTTATT